TGCTTTCTGTTTGTCCTTCTATTACTTTGATGCGAAGACTTAGTGATAGAGGAGAACTAGTGATAGGGAGGGGAGAGGGGAAGGGAAGGGAGGAGGAGGAGATGGAGACAGACAGAGACAGACGGACTCACAGCCATAGACAGGGAATGGGGGAACCAACCCCATTCTTTCCTTCAACCAGCAAGACTGTATTGCTGCCCCTCCTGCAGCCCAGTGCCCTGCTGGGCACCTGGGGGCCTGAGGACGGGGTGGAAGAGAAGATTTCCCTCTATCACAGCAAAGCTCTGGGAAACACATGAGAATTGCAGCAAGACCCAGAGCACCCTTTCCCTTGCCAGGGGCCCTGCCCACCCACCCACCCTTAGGCCTCCTATGAACTGCCCACAGTAATGCAGGTGAGAGCTTCCCTGAACAGTGGAGGTAACAGGGGAGGTGGCAGGACGTCAGGACAAAGTACAACTTCTGTGCCTTGGGCCTGATCACTACTTCCTTTGTCTGGGGCCACTGCTTGGCTCCTGGCTGCCTTTCATGCTCTTCTCCACCCCAACCTGTCCCTCTCCTCTTCCCCCTCCCCTGGAACACCTTCCTTTCCTCCTTGGCACCCTCTGAGCTGCCTCCAGAGCCCCAGGCTGTGGCTACCCAGGCCTGGCGATGGGACCTTCAACTGGGGCTGTTGTCACCCTTAGACTGGGACCCAGCCATGTCTTCTGTCTAGGCTGCCCTTGACTCCACGCCTCCAGTTGGGCCTGTGGGAAGCCTTTGGGGAGACAGTCTGCCCTGACGCCCTCTCCCTGCAGCCACCTGGGGAGGGAGGGTGCTAGAGGAGACATGGGGCTGGTCTTAGGACTCTCTCTTTTTTTTTTTAAGACCCAGGTGACTTAAGCTTTTCATCTGGCGAAAGTTTGGGCAGGAGCTAGGTCCACACAAGAATATAGAGTGCATGGCTGTGAAAGCTGGTGACTCCGCATGGGACAGGAGATCTGGAGGTGACCCCTTCTCTGACTCACCAGCAGGTTGTATCTAAGCCGCAGGGTGGAGGTAGGTGGCCTGTCCTCTCTCCGATGCAGCTTGCTCAAAAGCCCTCAGGCTAGGCTACAATCTTAGCTGCACCTTGAAGGGAATTCTGCATTGTCATTGCCCAGGCAGATCCACAGAGGGGACAGCAAACAGGTTGTGGTGGACAACATGGCATGTTGGGCTCACACTGGGGGCTAGGGTTGTGAAGCCCCTCCTAACTTTGGGGTCCTCTACTGAGTCCTCCTCTGCAGGCCCATTGCCTCCCTAGGGACTGAAAGGAGAGGATGTGAGCTCACAGGACCTGCAGCCTCTGTCCTGCCCCAGGGTGGGGATGAGGGAGGGGCTACGTCTTGTGGTCCTGGAGTGCTAAGGCAGACAAGAGGGAGGTTTATTGGCTTCCCTTCCCCATCCCACTCAGCATCTTGGAGCATGGAGCCAGGTGATGGCTTGTGAGCCAGCACTAAACACTGACTGGAAAAGACCTCGTCTCTGCTACCGGAGTTGAGACAGGACTGGAGCCTGAACGTGGAAAGGATGGGATGGAGTGAGCAGGAGCCAGTCCCTCAAAGGGCCCTGGGGACACCACTCCAGTGGAGTTGGGGTACCCGGGAGTTAATGTAATGCCCTCACCAGACCACAGCACTGTGGTGGATGGAAGGGGCTGGCTGAGTAACCTCCTTGGATTGTTTTGGAAAAACTGGGGGCAATCCTTGAGTTCCCATTCTCAGCCCAAGGTCTTTGCAGAGGCTACTTCAGCCCCAGGCCAGGCCCAGCCAGATCTGGGTGGGGAACAAGACTAGTTGGTCCCTCTCTTCCCACAGGTATCAGAGCCCCCTCTTATTCCCTGGGGGAGCCTGGGAACAGCTGGGCCAAAGCCCAACCAGGAATTTTTCCAGGCTGGTTCCTATATCCAAGGGTGGGGTGGGGGGCCTTGGGGAACACTTACTAAGGGAAGATGTGGGGAGTTGGAGAAGGGGGCTTTGAGGGAAGGGAGAGAACAGAGGAAAGAGAGTGGAGAGGCTGTGAGCCTAGAGAAGTAGCCAAGGGTTCTAGAGGGGATGGGGAACTGGGTAGACCCCCCGATTCTGTTCAGAAGATGAGAAGTGACTGGGGCTGGGGCTCCCAGAGCCTTGGCCCTCCCGCTTGGTGGAAGCTCTGGGCAACTGGCCTACTATTTCTGAATGCTAGGGGGTAGGTTTGAATCATCACTCAAGCCGGGCCTCCATCCGCCCCCACCAGCCCCTTGGCCTCAGTTCCCTGGCAACATCTGGGGGGGGGGGTGTCAGGAGGAACAAGGGCCTCTGTCTGTCCAGCTGCCTCTCCCTTTGGGCTCTGCCAGACTCCACAGTGCATACGTGGGATCCAACAGGTCCTCTCCCTCCAGGTCACTAACCCCAGAACCACACAGCTTCCCCTTCTCAGCACCATCAATTTGGTGTCAAATTCTTCTCCCCAGGGAAGACTCTCCAGACACTTCTGAAGAACCCCATTCACCCCAGGACCCCAGCTCCCCCTGATGTTTGCAGGTCAGATAGGGGTTCCAGATAAGTACACTGTCCCCCTGCGCACAGCACTGGGCTTTCTGCTCATGAGGCCATTCCAGCCTCAAACACGCAACTGTTTGGGAGGTCAGAAATGGGGGGTTACTCCCTCTTGCTAAGGCGGATAGGCTAAAGTCAGTTAGGGTGTGCATATGGCAGTCACTAGGGGGCGCTCGGCCACCACAGGGAGCTCATGAACTTGGGCGAGCCGCGTCTGCGTGAGGACGCGTGTGTCAATGTGAGAGCGTGTGTGTGTGTGTGTGTCTGTCTGTCTGTCTAGGGGGAGAAGGCCAGGGGTCACTCCAGGATTCCAACAGATCTGTGTCCCTCTGCCCACCCGTCCCTGTCCGGTTCCCCGCCCTCCCCCACGCCCTCCAATATTCCCAGCAAAGAGGGAATTGCTCTCAGGCCCTGTCCGCACATAACCTCACTTTCCTGTTTCCTCCCTCCCCCAAGCACCCCGCGGACGAAGGTGTCTCTGGGCAAAGTTCCAGGGGGTGCACTGAAAATCTTCAGGCTGTGAACCCTGGTGAGGGTCTAGCTTTCGCTTCACTGTAGTGAGCCAGGGGCTTAAGAAAGGCGTGCCAGGCCCAGTCGGTCTGTCCCCGCCCCTGGGGCGGGCCTGGGGGGCGGGGTTTTTGTGGGGCGGGGCCAGTCCCCCTTTTTTTCTCCGCTGGTAGCTGTGAGGATCGCAGAGGCTTGGGGTAGCCGGGCTGCGACAAGGCCGTTGGCGCAGGGGCCGAGCTGAGCCGGCGGCAGCGGAGCTCTGTCGCGAGACGCAGCAGCGAGGCGGATTGTCCCGCGGACTCACCGATCTGGGGGTCTCTGCTCTAGGATTCGATATTCATTTGTCAGGGGTTTATCCCCCTTCTTTTTTTTCTTAAACATTTTTTTAAAGAACTGTATTGTTTTCCGCTTAATTTATTTTTGCTTCCTATTCCCTACTTCAATCGTGCCGACCGACGGTTTGGGGATTGCTGTTGACTCTCCCAGATCACTTCGGATTTTGGAAACGAGCAGAGAGATAAGAGGTAGCGAGAGCTCCAGAGAGAAGTCGAGGAAGAGAGAGAGATCGGGTCAGAGAGCGCGCCAGCGAGCGAGACGCGAGAGGCACAGGGGCAAAGTGACTGACCTGCTTTTGGGGGTGACCGCCAGAACGCGGCGTGAGCCCTCCCCCTCGGGATCCAGCATCGGACCAGTGGCGCTGACGGACAGACAGACAGACACCGCCCCCAGCCCCAGCGCCCACCTCCTCCCCGGCAGGCGGCCGACGGTGGACGCGGCGGCGAGCCGCGGGCAGGAGCCGGAGCCCGCTCCCGGAGGCGGGGTGGAGGGGGTCGGGGCTCGCGGTATTGCACCGAAACTTTTCGTCCAACTTCTGGGCTGTTTTCGCTCCGGAGAAGCCGTGGTCCGCGCCGGGGAAGCCAATCCGAGTGAAGCCGGGAGAAGTGCTAGCTCGGGCCGGGAGAAGCCGCAGCCGGAGGAGGGGCAGGAGGAAGAACAGAAGGAAGAGGAGAGGGGGCCGCAGTGGGCGCTCGGCTCTCGGAAGCCGGGCTCATGGACGGGTGAGGCGGCCGTGTGCGCAGACAGTGCTCCAGCCGCGCGCGCGCCCCAGGCCCTGGCCCGGGCCTCGGCTTCAGGAGGAAGAGGAGCCCGCCAAGGCGCGGAGGAGAGCGGGCTGCCCCGCAGCCCGATCCGGAGAGGGAGCGCGAGCCGCGCCGGCCCCGGCCGGGCCTCCGAAACCATGAACTTTTTGCTTTCTTGGGTGCATTGGACCCTTGCCTTGTTGCTCTACCTCCACCATGCCAAGGTAAGCGGCTGTGCCCGCCTGCTGCCGCGGGCCGCTGCGAGCGCCTCTCCCGGCTGGGGACGTGCCTGCGAGCGCGCGCGTGGGGGCTTCGTGCCCCACGCGGGTCCTTGGGCACTCGGCGCGCGGCGTCCCCCCTCTGTAGTCGTACGTGTAGGGGGAGGGGGTTGCGCGCTAGGTGGGAGGGCGCCAGGCTAGTCTCACCGCCCACGCGGGCCCTGCCCACCCACCAGAGTCACCGCACGTACGATCTGGGCCGACCAGCGGAGGGCGGGAGCCAGAGGAGGAGGCCGAGGGGGCTGGGCTTGCGCTGCTGCTGCTGGCGGCTGAAGTTTGCTCCCGGCCGCGGGTCCCCGACGGACTGGAAGTCCGAGCAGCGGGGGCGGGAACCTGAGCCCAGAAGGCAGGGGGGTGCTCGGACCTTGGACCAGGGGAGGGCAGAGAGCGTGGAGGGGGCAGGGCGCAGGCGAGAGAGGAGGCTTGCTGTCACTGCTACTCGGTCTTTTCCGCTCTCGCCGCGAGTTTGGGAAAAGTTTTGGGGATGGATTGTTGCGGGGACCCCCCCCGTCCCCCGCCTGCGGGGCCACCTGCGCCGCGCCACCCCCGCCCGTCCCCGCTCGCGTCCCGCTCGTTGCCCGCCCTCCCCCGCCCGGCCGGGCGCGCGCGGCGCGGAGCCGATTACATCAGCCCGGGCCTGGCCGGCCTCGTGTTCCCGGAGCCGCGGCTGCGGGAGCCGGGAGCTCGGGGCAGCGAGCGGCGCCCCTCCCCCCGCCTGCCCTCCGCGGGAAGGTGACCTCTCGAGGTAGCCCCAGCCCCAGGACCTGGAGAACCACCCATACCCCGTTCCGCTGTCCCCAGTCTCTATTCCTGCCTTGTGCCAGGAAGAATTTTCTGACGCCCCTTCCCCCCGCCCTTTTTTCCCCTATTTCCTCACTAGTGGGTAAATTTGCCCTTTCCACCTTTTATTTTTGACTTCTCTTTGCTGAGAAGACCCATCCGACCCTCTCCGGCCCCACAGGCCCGGGAGAGAAAAGAACGGTAACTGTCAGAAGTGGAGGTTGCCAGAGACCCCCCCCCCACCATGCTTTGTCAAAACTCTACCTGAAGTTCTGACTTGGTGGCCTTGTGTTTCCCTCCCCTCCTCAATAGTTCCAAATAGCTGTGCTTCAGCTTTTGGGGGGGTCAGAGAAGGGTAAAGACCCACATCACCCCACTTTGCTCTTTTTGGAGAAGTGACTGGAAATTTGCTGGGACATGGAGCCTGGGAATAGCCCTTCCTGCCCCATCGGCAGGAGCCGCTGCCAGTCTTGTACACATACTTTGTCCTGACAGAACCTGGTATTGGAGCAGGTGGTTTTTTGGAACTCCAAACTTGCCTACCCAACTTGTTTCTCAAAGCCACTAAGGGGTCCTTTTCTATCCCTCCCTTCCTGCCTTTCCTCAGAGTCCCCTTGGAGAGGAGGCAGAAGGAAGGAAATAGGCAGGGGTCCCCGCCACCACCCAGAGTTGCTCAGACCCTGGCACAAAGGCCTTGGCTCCAGGCCTCCAAGTGGGGAGGAGGGGCAGAAGTGGCTGCTGGGCCACAGTGTGACCTTCAGAGGCCCCCAGAGAAGGGCACCTGGCCCCTCCCTGCCTAGAACCGCCCCTCCTGTGCCCCCTGGCCCTGGAGGGAGTATGAAGTTTCTGTTCCCTTTCCTCCTTAGGGCTCAGGAGGAGGAGAGGGAGAATGTCACCCCGGTATTGTGGGGATGGGTGAGGGGCTGAAGTGCAGAATACAGGGGAGGTCCTTGAGGGGTTGTAGTGGGAGGCTATCCAACTGGGAGCCTGGGAAGTTTTATCTTTCCTTGAGAGGGGCTTCCTCTGACCTTGGCCTTGGGGCAAGAATGGGGGACCTGGGTGGGCTGTGTGGGAAGGAGACACACAGATTCCCTCCCAGGGAGTCTGGAGGCCCAAACTGACTTGGGTGCAGCTCTGCACAAAAGGAGCAGGTGGGTGGGGAGGTGGGGAACTGGAGGCCCCCAGCATGCTGCTGTCAGGTCCACGTTGTCTGCAGGTTGACCTTCACAGCCTCTGGGATCTAGTGGGAGTGGGGAGGCTGGAGGACTTCTCAGCTTGGGGTAGAGCGGGGGACCCCCTGGGGCTGGGCTGCCTAAGGAAGAAAAGACTTCCCTGACTGCGGTTGAGGAAGGTGCTTAGGTGAGAGGGACCTGGGACAAGGTGGCAGTGGAAGGCTTTCAAAATGCTTTTAGGCTCTGGGTTGATGAGGGCTGGGAGGAAAATGGGGGCTCGCCCTTCCCCAAGGGCTTCCTCCAGACTTTTACCCTCTAAGCAACCTGTAGGTATGTTGAATATTCCTGCAGACTGGAAGAGTTTGGATGGGGGAGGGTGGTTGGTGCCCTTCGGTCCTCTGCACCCCCTCCCTCTCCGACACCAGCTCACCCTGGTATTTGTCATGTCAGCAGGAGAAGGTCACCATGTTGTTTTTCTCGCCCCCAGTTCTTCCTTCCTGCCCCAGTCCAAATTCGTCCTCCTATTTGACCTTAATACTTACCCATGGCTTTGGACCAGGGAATCAGGGGGTAGTAAGAGCAAGGAGAGGACAGTGTGGGGAAGGCATCAGGACCTGGACAGTGCAACATTCTGGTGTTTTTCTCCTGTATTGCAAACTCCCCACCCCCCAACATCTGGTTAGTCTTTAACTTTCGTGGGTTCAGAAGTAGAGCAGACCAGGGCTGGTGGGCAAACTCCAAGCCCACAGCGACCCCCGACTGTTCCCTGTCCCACTCAAGCCTTGGAGAAGCCATAGGCCATGGGCTGGGAGGGAAGCAAGAAGGAAGGAGGGGCCAAGTGACTGGGCCTTTGCACCTCTGTCCCTGCTCCTGCCAATCCCATGCTCTTTTATTTTGTCCTCAGTGGTCCCAGGCTGCGCCTATGGCAGAAGGAGAGCAGAAAACCCGTGAAGGTAAGTTCCCCTGGCTCTTGGATGGTATTCTCTGTCACCCCAGGAGGTGTGTGGATAGGTCTGATTCTTTCTTTTCAAATAACGTGGGTGTGCATGTGTGAGTGTGTGTGTGCATGCAGAGATAGGATCAAGACAGAAAGTGGTGAGCACCTTGGGGTTAACCCTTCAGCTTCTTAAGGTCTCTTCCCTGTTCAGGTCTCTCCTAAAAGTCGGACTTGTTGCTTTTTTCTTCTGTTCTCTCCAGTAACATTTTCTTTGGAGAGGGAGCTGTGAGCACAGACCAGGAAGGTAGTATCCAGGGATTCCAGATGTCCAGGGAGATAGCTCCTGCACCCCTGCTCCCAGGGGAGATGAATGTGCAATACCACCTCCTACCCAGCCACGGTCCAACTGTGGGGGCTGTGACCCTTTCTGTGTGAGCTTAGAGGTGCCCTGAATGGGACAGCCTAATGGGGACTCCTCCTCCCCCCCCCCACCACAGTTTTCATTCCTCTGGGGCTTGGGGAAAGCCCTGGTGGACTGTGTTCGGGTGCTGTGAACTTCCCTCTTGGGCCAGCAGAGGGCTGGCTGTAGCTCCCAGGCGCCCCGCCCCCCTGCCCAACCCTGACTCTGCCTGCCTTTTGTTCCAGTGTGGTTTGGAGTATGGGGATCCTCCCATTTCTCTGGGGACGCCCTGGCTCTCCCCAGCACTGAGTGTGGCCTCTGCTCCAGCTCCCCTCCTCTGAGGAAGGAAGGCCCTGGGGTCTTTCTCTATGCCAGTTTTTCTGACCCAAATCCAGTGTGGCCACAGTAGCCGCCAAGGGTAGTGATGCCCAGCCGATTCTGCCTCCTCCTCACCCCCACTCCAGGAGCCCTTTCCTTGGCCCAGGGCCTGGCTTTCTGCCACTTCCTGGCCTGTGCCACTGACAGGCCCCTGCTCCCAGTATGCCACCCAACCCCTTCGGCTTTCCAGTGGTCTCTGTGGTCTGGGAAAAACAAGACAAATGGTCTTTGTTTGCTGGAGAAAAGGTTGTCTGCCATAAATAAGGAAAACCACGAAAGCCTGATGTTGGAGTGCATGAGTGCATACGCCCCGTGCAGGAGGACGGCTTTCTTTAGAGGTCTGGCTTGGCCCACCGAACGTGCTGCTTCCTCTACCTCCTGTGGGCCTGGGGAATTCTAAGGAGAAATTTTGCAAGGGAATTCTCACCCCAGGTCTTTTTCAGCTCCTAACCCTATTGTCCAGGCCAGAACTTTCTACTATCCCCTCCTGGGTGGGGTCACAGCCTGGACCACCTCTGTCCCAGACATGATGCAGGATCAGTTTAAAAATTCTGGATTAGTTAACTTCATCAGTATAGACTTGCCTTAAAATTTTTCAAACCTCTGGTCTCATTGACTCTGTGGGCCATGCATTTCTTAACCCTTTGGGGGTAAGAAAAGAATTCCTGCCTGTTGGCTGGAGAGGAAAAGCAGAGACCAGGTTGGTGGGGGTTGGCTTAGGCGTCCCCACAGTTCTTTTGGTTTTCATACCTGTGACCTTCTCCCTACCTTCTCCTCAGCTCCCAGCTAACCTGTTGTGACATATCCCTGGATGGCATCTTTCTTTACCCTTTTGGAAGGAGAGGGTACTGTGCTGTAGCCCCTGGGCAGGGCTGTAGTCTATGGGGTGTGCACTTAAGATGTCTTGATGAAGTTCCAACCTTGTGTTATCCGGAATGAGAAAAGAACAGTTGTTCTCAGTGCTGCCAATGGGAGACAAAACCCCACATTTCAGCTTTTTTTTCAGCGTCTTTAGAGATCAGGCCAACCCACTTACACAGATGAGCAGAGTCAGAGGCCCATCGAGGGGAGGGACGGACCCAAGGTCACGCTAAGTCATAGCCAGTGCCTGGGCCTCCTTGCTGGCCAGGGTTATTCTTCCCTTCTATGTAGAGAACTCAGTTGAGGGATAGGCTTGTTATGGGGTGTTAGTGGGGGGCATGATGGGGTATGGCAGTTTGGGTCACAATTTGGAGTAGTCATGCCAGAGTCCTGCGTTTATTTATTCTCAGCGCCCCACCCCTATGGCCCAGAATTACCCCTTCATGCTCCAGTGCACCTTGGGAGCTGTGGTCAGCCTGGGAAACTGTCTTTATCCTGGTCTCCCTCCAGATCTGCTTCTACAAGTACCCGGCCGTTGAAGCAATGGCAGCATTGTTTTTTCCATGATGCAAGCAGTTTGCCCTCTTGGGCGGGGTTATTGGCGCTGGCAGGGCCTGCACAGTGGCCCCGCCCACTTCACCTGCTGACACCTCCTTAGCCTGGGTGTGGGGAGGGGGATTGGCAGGTGGCAAGGTGCCTCCTCAAGCTTTTATGCCAGTGTGTGGCATAGGCCAGGAAAGCCTTTGATGTCAGAGCCCATGACTTCACTGCTTATTAGAATGTGACCTTGGGCAGGTTACAGAGCCTCTCTGAGTCTCTCTGAGCCTCCTGTTCCCCATTTACAAGAGGGGTCCCAGTAGTATTTAGTAGTGCCATCCATGTAGGGAGGTCGATAACGTGGGCACTGTACCCAGTGCCCAGCATGTACCAAGTGCTCAATAAGCAGGTGCAGGCCTGCTTGATGTTATCACAGTGACTGTGGGGAGGTTGCAGGAAAGTGGAGAGCAACTGGGCAGAGCTCGTTGCTCCTTGCAGACAAAGCTTAGTGTAGCCATACTTAGACTGTCCTCTGGCATCACAGTGAGGCAGAGAAATCAGAGGTGACATGCCTCCTCTCCTGTGGTCTGTGGAATGAACACAAACCTTCACCAGCCGTGGTGGTGAAAAGCTAAAAGAGAGCTTCCACTCAGCAGAAGGGACTTCAGTTAGATCTTTGGAAGGACTTACCTGATAGTGAGGCCCTGAGGAGTGGCCATCCAGAGCTGGGTGGAGATAGGGGATGGCTGTCTTTTGCATCACCCTGAGCTCATGTTTCCCCCTTCCCATGCAGTGGTGAGGTTCATGGATGTCTACCAGCGTAGCTACTGCCGTCCGATTGAAACCCTGGTGGACATCTTCCAGGAGTACCCTGATGAGATCGAGTACATCTTCAAGCCGTCCTGTGTGCCCCTGATGCGGTGTGGGGGCTGCTGCAATGATGAGGCCTTGGAGTGTATACCCACCCAGGAGGCTAACATCACCATGCAGGTGGGCACCTGTGGGGCCGGGGGCAGGGACACAGGGAGGGCTGTTATACTTTGGAACAGGTGGCCTGGGTCCCTTACTGGGAAGCGCTTGGTAGGTGGAACTGGACTTGCCTGGCCTAACTCCTCTCCTTGAATTGGTGTTTGGGGTGGGGAGGTGTAGTGGGAGTCTTGGGGAAGAAGATGCCTGCATTTCCCAGCCCAGGTTCTCCTGACCTTTGCCCCCTGAGCTCAGGAAGGGGCCCATGCCTGCACAAGAGCCCTTCTCTTCTTCCCTTGGAGAGAGCCTGCAGGCCCTCCCTTCTTGGAGGCTCGATTTGGGAAGCTGGATAGGCCTGGTCTGAGAAGAGGTTTTTGGGTGCTTCCTGGTGATGGGGTACAAACCAGCCTAGACAAGAGTAGAGAGTGGGAGGGAGCTCTGAGACATAGGGGGTGGTGTCTCTGGGGTAGCTGCTAGGGGTCAGGGTGAGACCTAGAAGGGATAAAAGGAGGGGAGGGGATGGGAATGGTAAGAACCCAGGACCTGAATTCCCAGCCTGGCCAACCCTTGTAGCCATACCTTCCCTCAAGAGGAGCAGGGGCTCCTTGAGGCCAGCAGGGCTGGGGGAGTTGGGGTGGCCTGAGGCTCTTTCTGCTAGAGCCCTGGTCCTCCTGCCTCTACCACCCATCCCTGCTCTGTAGAACCCTTGGGTGCTGAGTGGCAGGAGCCCCGGGGTGTACCATCTGGGTATGGCTGGCTGGGTCACTAACCTCTGATCTGCTTCCTTTTCCTCAGATAATGCGGATCAAACCTCACCAAGGCCAGCACATAGGAGAGATGAGCTTCCTACAGCACAGCAAATGTGAATGCAGGTGAGGACGAGTCACACATTCATTTGATCTGCACCAGGGTAAAGCACATTGGGCTTGTTAGCCTGTGTCCACCTTCCGACTGTGTGACCTTGGGCATTTTACTTTGGCTTGCCACAGTTTCCACATCTGGAAAATGGGCACAATATTATGAAGATGAAAACAGTTATTGTTTGTAAAGGGATTAAAACAGTGTCGCTCCATCATAAACACTATGCTTTTACTGCTATTATTATTATCCTTGTCATTATTACCACCATCTTAATTCCTCTCTTATTTTTTTTCCTCCTTCTCTACCCATTACAGACCAAAGAAAGATAGAGCAAGGCCGGAAAAGTAAGTGGCCACAACACTCACACTTCTCCCTCTCTTTGGCCAGTTGTCCTGGTTTGCAAAGGCTTTTAGCTTCCTTTGTCGGGGGCTCTGATGGCCTCAGTGGGTCAAGTGGTTGGGCACTGTGGTGGCAGCTGTGGGATGGAGTCAGCTTTAGGATTATGGCTCCAGAATCAGTGAAGAAATTCAGCCTGGAGTCTGATGTTTTGTTTGACAGAGATGCTGCCTTCCAGGTCTCTAGATACTTGCTGTTCGGTGTGTCAGGGGGCAGTGTGGACACTGGCTCCCTGGATCCCTGAAGAGGAGAGGGAGTGGGTGGCACAGAGGCCAGCTTTTGTGTGTTAGAGGAAGCGGCCTCTTTTGGTGGTCACTGTGGCAGTGCATTGGGGTCTGGAGCTGCAGGGCGTTTCTTGGTGTCTGCCTTCCTGGTGGAGTGGGTGGGAAGGAGACACATAGCTCTCTCTGCTGCTGAAGAGAAGTGGCATGTTGGCTATTTTCTGAGACTTCCAGTTGCTCAGTGTGGAAAGTCAGGTCAGGATGGGGCTGAGGACAAGGTCTGGGATGTGGGTGGGCGGGTGGCACCGATGGGAAGTGAGCAGGGAGGGAGAGACTGAGAGAGAGCACCCATGCTACCCTCTTCCCCTTCCTGTCTGCCCCACTGCTCTTGAGACTTGAAGCCCCTAAGCCTCAACTCTGCCCTTCCCTAAGGCCCCAGCTTCAGGACTGTCGTGGCTGGGTGAGCCACGGTCTGGGAGAATACAGTGAGAGAGAGAGCGTGGGGAGACTCTCCTTTCTTCCTTGCAGTCCTTTCTCCTGAGGGGAACAGACATGCCTCTCCCCTTGTCCCCTTCCTTCTTCCCCTGTGACAGACATACTGAGGAGTGCTCTCTCTGGCCTGGCAGTCATGGAGAGTGCTGGTTCCCTCAAGGGGAACAGGCTGCAGCCTAAATGCCTGCTTTGTTCCTGGGGAGAGCAGGGGCTCTCCGGGGCTTGGAGGAGAACCTATCCGAGAGAAGGGTGGCAGGCTTTGAGAGTCTGGGGAGAGAACTCCCTGCAAGTATCCTCAGGAACCTCCCCCAAGCCATCCCTAGCTCCCCCTGAGCAGACCACCTCTGATGGGGCTCTGAGGAGATCCAACCCCATCTCCCATGGCTGGGCAAGCTGGTGCTTTCATGTCTTGCCTGGGTTTTTTGCCACTTCTTAAGGAAGCTGCTCCCACCACCAGGATTCCCTGAGGCAGGGCCCCTGGAGGGACCCCTTGCTATTGCATCTGGAAATGAAGGCAGAAGGTGCTCAAAGCATAGCCCTCCCCCTCCCCACCCTTCTTTCAAGTTAGGAATCTGACCTTCCCAAAGTCTGCCTTATTTTTTACAGCCCCCTGACCTTCAGGGTCCAATGAGTACAGGCTTGCTGGGCACAGAGCCTGCCTGTGGGGCTTTAAGTGTTGACTGAGACTGGGAGCAACTTGAGCATGGAGGCCCTTGGGTCCTATGCCCTCCGCAATCTCTGCTCCCACTCAAGGCCTTGCCAAGGGCTGGGGTTGGCACCCCAGGGTGGGCAAAGTGAGGAAAAAGGAGCTATGGGGTGCATGCTGCCCCAATACATTCATGTGTCCAAGCCACCAGCTCCAGGAAGCAGACCTGTTTGGCCTGTGCCCCCACTGCCTCCTTTGCTCTCCTGTCCCCCTCGTTCTCTCTCTGTCTGTCTCTGTTATTTTATTTTCCAGAACATCAGTTCGAGGAAAGGGAAAAGGGCAAAAGCGAAAGCGCAAGAAATCCCGGTATAAATCCCGGAGCGTGTACGTTGGTGCCCGCTGTTGGCTAATCCCCTGGAGCCGCTGTGGCCTCCAGTCAACCTCCTGCCTGCAGTACCCCGTAACCCTGCCGCCCTCCCGTGGCCCCTCCCTGGCTCTTGCCCTTCCCTGGCTCTTGCCCTTCCCTTCTGGCCTCAGTGTCTCTCTCTCTCTCTCTCTCTCTCACTCACTCACTCCACTAACCCACCAATGGGGAGACTTGGTGGTGGCGTTGCTGGTCCAGGGCTGGGATAGGGAGGGTGGGTGTGTGGGCCTGGAGGACTCAGGGAGGGTGCTTGGCTGGGCACCAACTTCCTCTCACCCACTGGGCACTGGTGGTGGGCCCATGTTGGCAGGGGTGCTGGGTGTCAGGGCCGCTCACCCAGCTAGTTTCCACTGCTCTAGGCTTCTGTACTAGTCTGGAAGCTGAGAGTGGTGGGGAGGGCAGACATGGCGGAGGAAGAAGTATTTGTGGGCTGAAGGAGTAGCTGGGGCAGGTCAGGCATCTTGTGGTGGCCCCTTCCCTGGTGGAAGGGCCTTGTTTCCTCATGCACTTCAGGCCTCTTGGGGAGAACCCCCCCATTCCAGCCCATCCCACGGTGCCTACTGAAGTCTCCCTATAGGGCAGCCTCTTCCTCTGTGTTGGAGGCTATGATGGGCTTGGCTGGTGGATTGAGCCTCTGAACTTGGCCTTCCATTGTGCCCTATGGTAGCCCTCTTTGGTGGAGGGGTCTGGGCACAAACCCTTTTCCTGGGAGATCTTAGGGGCTGCTGATTGCTGTCCCCAGCAGGTGAAGAGTCAAGGTGTGCTCTTTTGGGGACAGCAGCAGTGGGGGCCCTGTGGCCTGAGGTGTACCCATGTCTTCCTGGGGCATAGCACTGCCCCTCCTGGCAGCCCTGTCCTGCACTCTCTGCCCGCCTATGCCCTCCTCTTCCTGTGGGTAGGCATCCTAGCCAGTGCTGCCTCTTTCTGCCACTCTCTCTGTCTTCTGCTGTAGCGCTCGGATCCTTCCAGGGTGTGGAAGGGCGTGGGGGCTGCCGAGCCGGGTGGGGATGCCGCTGTGGACGTGTTAGGGGGTGTTGCATGGTTTTTTTCTCTCTCTCTGCTGATGCTCTAGCTTAGATGTCTTTCCTTTTGCCTTTTTGCAGTCCCTGTGGGCCTTGCTCAGAGCGGAGAAAGCATTTGTTTGTACAAGATCCGCAGACGTGTAAATGTTCCTGCAAAAACACAGACTCGCGTTGCAAGGCGAGGCAGCTTGAGTTAAACGAACGTACTTGCAGGTTGGTTCCCAGAGGGCGAGCGAGCGAGTCAGAGAGGGGCATCACAGACATGGGGAGAGAGAGAGGAGAGAGAGAGAGAGAGAGCGAGAGAGAGAGAGACAGAGAGAGCACGCCTGTGAGGGGCCAGCTGCTTGCTCGGCTTCTAGCTGCCTGCCTGGTGACTGCTGCCTTCTGTGTTCCCAAGGCCTTGCGGGCGCTGGTCTGGTCTGGTGAGCCTGCTCCAAGGTTGTGCTGGCTGCCTGAGTGGGTAGGCTGGTGTGTCTTAGTGTGGTGGTGTGGACTCAAGCTGTGTGTTGTGTCCTGTGGTCCTGCTGCTCGTGGTGGCTGTTGGTGCTGATGTTACTATTGCTACATCTGGTGCTAATGCTGAGAGACTAGGAGCCCTTCCATGGATGGAATGACGTCTATATAATGTACGCCTTCTTGCTGGCTCTACACTGTCCTCTCAGGACAGCCTGGCTGGGCCTCTGATCCTTTGTGTCCCCCGCCCCGCCCTGCCCCAGAGCAGGACTGTGTCCCCTCACACTGGGGCTCCCTGATGACAGGGCTCTGCTGTTGGTTTAGGCTCTTTCTACACCACATGCTTTAATCCTGCACCAGTTGAGGTGACAACCCTGACCAGTCTACACATTTCCAAATGTCCCCCTGATGGTTGGAGGGAGTGGCCATGCCATCCCCCTACCATCAGACCGTGAGTTCCTTAAGCCTGGACCTGCTTTACTACTTTAGGGATACCCAGGTGTCTGTACCTCGGTCCTTTGTCCATGCTGGGGTCCAAGGAAGTGTCAAGTACATGAGTGAACACTATATGTGACTGAGCATACAGTCAGGAGCACAGGGTTGTGACGGGCTGCTGATGGGCTGCTGACGGGCAGCTGACAGTCTTTTGACACCTGGACTGGCATTCTTTATGAACATGAGGCCTGTCCTCAGGGTAAGCATCACCCAGAAGAAGGGCTTTTATGGGTGAAACCCAAGTAGGGCCAGGATCCCTGCTAGTGCAAGGGCTCCTTGGAGCCTGCTCCCCTTCTCCTCCAGGGTTCCCTGGGAACTAGACCTTCATCATTGGTGTGAGGCTCTGGCTCTCTGACTCTCTTGGCCCTAATGTGAAAAAGCATATAGTAGTACTTGGGGGGGGAGCGCTCTTCCTAACTCCAGGGCTCAGTTCCCCTGGCGGGGCCTCAGGAAAGATTAAGGACTCCACACCTTAGAGTTTCTGTCTAGATTGTTCTGCAGAGCTGTGGGTGACCTGGGAGGTAACTGAAGTTACTTGGCCCTCAGAGACTTTACCTTACCCCTGAGCTGACTGGGGGAATTTCAGTTCCTAAGATTTGATGCTTAGGACTGCTATTCCCAGCCTCTCCTTCAGGGCAGGGCCTGTTTTGCTTCCTCCTTCTCATGGTAGGGAGGGTAAAAGACAATCAGCCAGGGGCAGGGGCACGAAGAGAAGGTCCCTGCTTCAACAGGAGGAGCAAAGCCTCTATGTTGTCTGTCCCTGGCCTAAGTTAAACAGCACATGGAAAAGGACAGGCCACAGGTGCTTGGGCTTGCAGCTGCCAGGCAGCTCAAGAGAGGCCAGGCCTGCAGCAAGGCCGAAGACTCACAGGGAGTGGAGCTATTCTCTCTCCCTCCTGGTGCCCCAGGTCCCCCTAACTCCTTTCCTTTGGGGACCTCATGTCACTAGGACAGCCCCCCTCCTTGACTGGCCGCATCTTTCCCTGGCTTATGGTATTGTTCCAGTCTCCTATTCACTCTTCCCCAAACCAGCCTATAGAGCCTGAGCTGTGTCACCTCCTGCAGAACCCTCTTCAGCTAATTCCATCCAGCTCTGCCCCTCTTTGGCGATGAAGTGTCAAGTCGGGGCTGTTCTTTGGTACTTGTTCATTTGTTGCTTTGTGAGGTGTTGCTATGTCTTTGTCATGTCTCACGTAGGCCACAATCTCTAGTGGGCAAACTAGGGGCTCCTGAGTACGGCTGCTGCTCTGACTGGGGCTCCCCGAGGACCGGACTGGGCCTCTCCCTCCCATGGGGCATCTATCCCAGGACTTTACTTTCCCTGTCCTCTGCTCCTGCAGCACAAGGGACTGCAGGGACCCAGGGGCCTCCCTTGGGGAGACTGCCAGACTCATTGCCAGGTCTCTTCTCCTGATCCTAACCCTCAGCTTTTGTTTGTCATTTCCCTCAGATGTGACAAGCCAAGGCGGTGAGCCAGGTTGCAGGAAGGAGCCTCCCTCAGGGTTTCGGGAACCAGACCTCTCACCAGGAAAGATTGATCCAGCACGACCGACTACTACACCGCCACCAACACACCGTCACCAGTCACCGTTGACAGAACAGTCCTTAATCCAGAAACCTGACATGAAGGAAGAGGACACTGCGCAGAGCACTTTGGGTCCGGAGGATGAGACTCCGGCAGAAGCATTCCCGGGCGGGTGACCAGGCACGGTCCCTCTTGGAATTGCATTGGTCATTTGATTTTTCTTGCTGCTGCTAAATCACCAAGCCCGGAAGATTAGAGAATTTTATTTCTGGGATTCCTGTAGACACACCCACCTACATACATACGTTTATATATATATATACATATATATAAAAATAAATATATATATTTTATATGTATAAAATATATATATTCTTTTTTTTTAAATTAACTTTGTAATGTTATTGGTGTCTTCACTGGATGTATCTGACTGCTGTGGACTTGAGTTGGGAGGAGAATATCTCTACTTAGATCCTGACAGGAGAGAGCATGGAACGAGAGACTCTGGCATGGTCTTTTGTCCCTCTTAGGGAGGCCAAGGTCCTTTCCTCTGCCCGGGAACAATGCAAGGCCAGGGCACGGGGGCAAATTTGGCTCACTTCTGGGAACAGCGACAATCCCAGCCCTGGCCCTGAGCCTCTAACCCAAGTCAAATTGACAGAAAGACAGACGACAGATACAGGGACGAGGACGCTGGCTCCACCAGGAGTTTGGGGAGCCTCAAGAGATGGAGTGTTTTGTGGACTCCAGCCACATGCTGCAAGGACGTCTTGCCCCCGGGGGCACTGCCCGGAAAAGTCTGGAGTCTGGGCAGCCTTCACCTGCTTCCCTCTGCTTCTGAGTCACCTGGGAGACCACTGGCAGGTGTCCTGGTGAAGAGAAGAGTGGCCGAGGCTGGCGATGGCTCCTCTTCCTGGGACCTGCTCATCCTCTCCCTGCCCTGCTTCCCGGAGTGCAGCCCAGGTGGCACTCATGTCCTCAGACCATTGAAACCACTAGTTCTGTCCCAGGAGACCTGGCTGTGTGTGTGAGTGGTTAACCTTCCCCCTACCTGTCCTTCCCGAAGCACAGAGAGATGGGCAGAACCTACCTGTCCATCATGGAGGCAGAGAAAAAGAGACAAAGTGTTTTATATACGGTACTTATTTAATATCCCTTTTTAATTAGAAATTAAAACAGTTAATTTAATTAAAGAGTAGGGTTTTTTTTCAGTATTCTTGGTTAATATTTAATTTCAACTATTTATGAGATGTATCTCTTGCTTTCTCTCACTCTCTCTTATTTGTACTGGTTTTTTGTGTATGAGATCTGTGTTTCCAGTCTCTCTCCCTGATCGGTGACAGTCACTAGCTTGTCCTGAGCAGATGTTTAATTTTGCTAACACTCAACTCTGCCCTTCCTTTTCCCTGGCTCCCCACCACACATTCCTTTGAAATAAGGTTTCAATATACATTTACATACTATATATATATTTGGCAACTTGTGTTTGTATATAAATATATATATATATATATGTTTATGTATATATGTGATTCTGATAAAATAGACATTGCTATTCTGTTTTTTATATGTAAAAACAAAACAAGAAAAATAGAGAATCCTACATACTAAATCTCTCTCCTTTTTTAATTTTAATATTTGTTATCATTTATTTATTGGTGCTACTGTTTATCCGTAATAATTGTGGGGGGAAAAAGATATTAACATCACGTCTTTGTCTCTAGTGCAGTTTTTCGAGATATTCCGTAGTACATATTTATTTTTAAACAACAACAAAGAAATACAGATATATCTTAAAAAAAAAGCATTTTGTATTAAAGATTTTAATTCTGATCGCAAAGTTCCTTTTGGTCTCTCCTTCTCCATTGAATTCTTGTTACAGATTCCCCACCCCTTCTCTCCTCCCTCTGGAAGCACAACATTTGTCAGTTCCAGAAAAGGGTCCCTGGTGTGTAGGATATGGGGGTGACCCACCTCCTTGTGCTGGGACAGAATCCTTCCAGTCTGGCTGGGCTGTCCACCCCTGTCTTGATATAGAAGGTCAGAGCATCTTAGCCACGGCTCTGGCAATGTGTAAGGCTGATCCAGGCCCCTGGCCCTTGTCAAGGAAGAAACTAGCCATGGTTCCAGTTGGCTGCCCAAAAGGCAGGCAAGGGCTAGGCTCGGCTATAAATCTTACTGGCTACAGTTGGCTAGGAGTGGGAAGGGGGTGCTGCTGGGGGACTGTGGCCCCAGGGTGTAATTTGCTGTCATTAATGAGTGTTGCAGTTCCTTGAGCTCAGACAGAGCCCCACAGCACTGGTTGTCACAGATGGGATCCCTGCCCTGCCGTGCTGCATGAGCCCTTCTCTCCTGTCCTGGGCTTGGGGAAGGTGGACCTTGCCTGTGTCTTTGGCAGTGGATCCAAATGAGCAGTGGGTCCAAATCCACTTCCTTTTGTCACTCGTGCATTGTAGAGCTTGGGTAAATATTGGGCCAGCTATTGTGCTGTGACCCAGGATGCTGTTATGAATAAGGCAATTATACCCCGCAAGGATCTGGGGAGGGTGAGTAGGTGGGAGATACATCCATTAATAGAAAAATGTATAAATCCAAAGTATAAGTCCATTAATGGAAAAATGCTTCAAGTGTCCTGGGGGAGTCAGGAGCCGGTGGCACACGCCTGTAATGTTAGCTACTTGGGAGGCCGACATTGGAAGGATCATGGTTCAAGGCCAGCCCAGGCAAATAGTTCTGAAGATCCCATCTCCAAAATAGCCAGAGAAAAATGAACTGAGGTATGGCTCAAGCGATAGAGCACCTGCTTTGTGAGCATGAAGCCCTGAGTTCAAATCCCAGTCCCACCAAAAAAGAAATGTCTTGGGAGGCATCTGATCTAACTTGGGGATGGGGTATTGGGGTGGGGAGTTTCTTCTCCTGACGTGACCTCCATGCCACACCCTAAAGAATGGATAGAAGACAGGGATGGTGGGGGTACAGAGGGTTGAACCCCAGGCAGAAGGGGTGGTGTGAGCAAAGGCCTGGAGAGGCCTCAGGCAGGGAGTGGGTGAGGAGTTGAAGCTGGAGAGAGGCAGGGATTAGCTGGGGGGCTGCAGTGACTGTGGGGAGAAGGCAGAAGCAGGTTGTCCCTAGTCAGAGATGCTTCCCACAGTGCCTGGCAACAGCATGGGAGCAATGGGAGGCTGTCGAGACCTTCAGGGAGATGCTTTGAGACTGGTAAGGTGACATGCCTGACTGGCAGTGTGGCAGACTCCGGTTCACATGGTGAGGAGGACAGGAGGTAAGGTCCTGCCCTGATGGAGCTTTGGTCCAGGTACACCCTCCTTTCTACTCTCTTGCCCGTGCTGGCTGCCACAGGAGTTGATGTTGAATTCACACACAGCCCAGTGAGGTAGATGTTTTTGTCACCCACCTGGATTTTAGCTGGCACCTCTAAATTAGTCTTCTGGGGTCTCCACTAGCTCCCCTCAACTCTTCTCACACCATAGCCAGAGTGAACCTGACCAAATGGGAGTCAAGGCGTGTTACCTTTGGTCTCAGAACCCTCTGGAGACTCCGTGAAACGGCCTTGAAAGGCTCTGACCATCCAACTGCCTCTACTTTCCAATTACTCAGTGGCTTCTGATCCCCCTTGGTCACTTGGCTACTTTCACACAGGCTTCTCTGGTCCTCACACTTCGTAGGCATGCTTCCCCACAGGACCTTCGCACTTGCTGTCTCCCTTCTGGCACATTTAGCCCCACATAAGGCACGTGTGGCTCCCATGTCTTCAAGTCTTGTCCCCTCCTCACTGAGGCCTCCCTGGACCACTGCATTTACCACTGACCCTACTGAGCCTTAGGGCTCCTTCTTTTCATGACCCATTGTCCTATAGCAATGACACCCTCTCACACACTATGACAGCACTGGTCAGTAAAAATGTAGTGGCCACATTTGTAACTTCTTGTTTTGGTGCTAGGGATCAAAGCCAGGGCTTTGACCTTTGTTCCACCGCTGAGCAACAACCCCAGTCCATACAGACATAATTTAAAATGTTCTAGGGGCCAAGATCTTAAAAGGTGAGAGAAACAGAGGTGAAATGAATGTTGCTAATATATTTTATTCAACCCCAACCTATCTAAAATATCATATCAACATCTAATCAGTATGAGAATTATTAATGAGAGATTTTAGACTTTTAGATTTTACACTTTACCAGATCTTCAAATCTGGTATGTATTTTATACTTAAGGCATATGTCACTTGGTGGTGGCCACATTTCAAGAGCTCAATGTGCATGCATGGCTTAGTAGCTGCTTTTTAAATTTTCCTTTGATGGTACTGGGGTTTGAACTTTTTTTTTTGTGGTACTGGGACTTGAACTCAGGGCCTACACCTTGAGCCACTCCACCAGCCCTTTTTTGTGTTGGGTATTTTCAAAATAGAGTCTCGTGAACTATTTGCCTGGGCTGGCTTTGAACCATGATCCTTCTTATTTCTGCCTCCTGAGTAGCTAGGATTACAGGTGTGAGCTACTGGCTCCCAGCAGGTTTGAGCTGATGGCTTCGGGTTTGCAAGGAAGGCGTGAATCGCTTGAGCTGGACCTCTGGCCCTTTTTGCTCTGGTTATTTGGAGAGGAGATCTCCTTTTTGCCCAGCTGGCCATGGCTGGGATGATAGGCTTACCCCTGCACCCAACTGTTAGTGGCTGCTGTTTAGGACTGTGTGGCTCTAAAATTTATTCCCGTTTTTGTCCTCTTCTCCCCACTAGGATGCAAGCTCTATGAGGGCAGAGATTTTTGTTTGTTTTGTTTATTATGTCTCCAGCTCCTGGAACAGTGCCTGGATTATAGCACATGCCCAGGGAACATCTGTTAAACGACTGACATTGTTGAGACTGAGGCCTGGAGGCTGAGGATTTCATTCCAGGACTATGGAGACGGGATGGAATTTCTATGGAGATGCCTGGAGAGGTTGGTGGCAGGCTTGCTGGACAGGTGGGGACTTGGACAGGGCTGGGGCTAGGAGAAGTGAATGCAGAGTCAGCCAGTAGGATTTGGGAGCAAAGTTCAGATACTGTCTCCTTGTAGCTGCCCTGGAGATGAGAGTCATTATTATCGCTCCAAACTCGTGAAGCAGGAGCACCAGAGAGGTTAAATGACTTGCTTGGATTTACACAGCCAGGCAAGGAGAATTTAAACCAGCTTTCCCGACTCCAGTTCTAGTGCTCTTCCCAGCACACCGCAGCCGCCCCAGGCTAGGGCAGGACATCAACAAATAAAAACAATTTGTCTAGACTGAATACAAACAGGCAGAAGAAAAGTAGGACAGGGGGAGGATGGAGCGGTGGCCAGACCCAGGGCTGAAATCCAAGTTCCCCATGCATGGTAAGGCAAGGCAAGGCAAGAGATGTCTCCAGGGACTGGGGCTCGTCAGCGGGAGATTGGAAACCGAAGCATACAAGGAAGAGATTTCAACACGAGGCCTAGGACAAGAGAAACAGTCTTGAAATAGACCACAGAGAAAAGGAGAAGAAAACGAAAATGCTGTGTACCCCAATTGTACAGGAGCAGCACAGACACCCCCTGGAGCCTCTCCAAGGATCCCTCAAGGCCCAGAGAAGACTTGATCAAGGCCAAGGCCTACCCTGCCGTCAACTCCACTGTGCCTAGCTTAAGACTCTTTCCTTTTGTTCAAAGGAGCACCCTGGTCACAGCCCTCAAAAGTCTTTACAGTCCCTGCTTCTTCAGGGAAACTGATGGCCACTTGCCTCCCTCCCACAGTCCATGCTAGGAGGTTGGTTGAATCCATCTAGAACTTGGCGATTCTAGGTTTGTTTGGTTTCTCAGGACCATTGTGGTGGCCTGTATGCAAATGTGGCTGCCGACAGTTCTTCCCATCCCTGTGCCCACGTGCTGCTCCCATCAGCGTTTTCCCTCCTTTTGAATCTGGGCTGGCCTTAGGACTTGCTTTGATGAAGACTGTGGCAGAAGAAGAGAGACTGTGGGGACATCTAGGCTTAGGCTTAGTAGGCTTCATCGTTTTGCCCTCTTGGGAGGCAGCTGCCTTGCTGTAAGGAAGCTCAACTATACTACTGGAGAGGAGAGAGAGTGGGCAGGAGAGGGGGGATCTCATCAACCCTCCACTGTTCCCACCACCCCACACCGAGCCCCCGGTCATGCAAGTGAGATCAATGGGATTCTCCAGTCCTGATGAGCCACGGTAGCCAACAATTGGCAAAGTACTGTGAGGCCATCCTCTGCCTATATCGGAGTTGTGAGATTGTGCAGACTGCTATTGTTCAAAGCTGTGACATTCTGGAGTGGTTGTTACTCAGTGGTAATAAATAACTGAGCTTCCCACTAAACAGTCACTTCCACAGGATTAGGACTTTTGTGCCATCCCATCCATGAGGTCTTGGTATGTCTGAAGGTCCAAGAGTTTGGAGAGAGAAAGGCTATTTTTAGGAAGAAAATTACAGACAGGGGTCTGCACTGGTGGTAGGTTTGGTAGGTAGACTCAGGGCAAGGGCTGACCCAGGGAAGACAGAGGATTATCCAAATTTCCAGAAGGAGGAGACTCATTCAGTTCTACTGAAGTCTCTCCAAGGGAAATTGAGCCTCACCTACAGAGTGAGGGAGAGAGGACAGAGGACAAAACTGCCGAAGAGCTAGGCACAGGGATTTATAGGAAAATACCGTTGAATCCTTTTCCTCCCTTCCACTCCTGTCATCCAGCAATTACTGAACATCAGTCACACAGCTGTGCCTTGGTATGGGACAGTCACTCACGTGCATGGGTGGCTTCAGCCTATGCCAGCCTAGAGATGGAGGATGGATGAGATGACCCTTGGAAGGCCCCATCAGTCTGATCTCAGAGCTGCCAGGAGGGTGAGAATTCAGCTGCACCCATAGGACATTGTCTGTCAGGTGGGGACCAGGGGAGTGCAGGGGAGGAAACTAAATATTTACAGTCAGCCTGGAAATGGAAAACGCAAGGCAAGGACAGGGCTCCGGGGAGCATCCGCAGGGTCACAGACAGAAAGGGGACTCTGAAGGGGAAGAGTTAGAACTGAGGTGTGTCAGACAATGAGCACGGCTGTGCCTGGGTCTCCCCAGGGTGACAGACAGAGGCGACCTGAGAAAGATTTTCAAAGGCTTTAGAGAGTTGCTCTCTTCATGAGGGGAGTATAAGTCCTGTCCCTGTCCTCAGGGAGCTCCCAGACTGAGGGCAGACATGGCCCTTGCCCTCAGGATGTTCCCTGCCCTCACACAGATGCTAGTCTGAAGGAAGAGAAACCATGCCACCAGAACTTTCTTTATTGAGTAGGATGGCACCAGTCTTGGGAAGGCACCACCTGGCCTTCACCTGACTGTCATCGGTGTCTGGAGTCACCGGATGTGGTGAGAGATGAACCATCTGGGGCCTTCATCCCCATCCTTCTCTCTCACATTTACTGTCCCAAAGGGGCTCGCTCTGCCTCTGTCATGAGCCACGCACAGTTCACCAGCCTGGCCCTGGTATTTCTCCATACTTCCCCTGATGGTCCCTTGGTCTGGCTCCAAGTGGGGCGGATGCCAACACGTGCCCATTTCCTGGGACTCCTCCGTCCCCTCTGAGGTCTGAGGTCCTCCATTCAACACCTTCCCAGTATCCTGCAGGAAG